AATATTTCCACTAAAATATTGATTAAAAACAGTCACATTGGGGTGTTTGGGGTCATAATAATACTTTAAATCATCTAAACAACCAAAAAGATTCACTTTGAAATGATTTAAATGAGTAAAAAGAAGCAAATCTTCGTTTTTGAGGAGTAAGGTTTAGAGATTATTTGACATTTTTACTAATAAACGGCTTAAATGTTTCATAAATTACCAGAATTATTGGTCAAAACCTGAAACCTTTCAGCCACAAACCCAACCAGAAGAAGACATTTTAAGTTTTTACACCTTATTCTGGAACTTTGTTTAAAATTTAATCCTCAGTTTCTGACCGACAAACAAATCATTTCATTCAGAGCTGCAACGAAACGACAGGATTAAGGTTAATTAACACTCTGTTTTCATCCTTCAGGCTCCGTCAGCAGTGAGCCGGCGGAGAGAAACCAGAGCCACAATGGCCACACATCCGGAGCCAAAATGGCCGACAGACCCGCAGCCCAGCAGGTAGGACGGGAGGAACTTCATATTTATTCACGATTCCTCCGTTTGATTGCTTTAAAATCAGCAGTAAAGTGACAGAAGTGTGTCTAATGAGTAGATTTACAGAGATTTTAAATGCAAAAATACCAACAATGTCGTTGTTTCTTCTGCCTCCAGCGGTCCGTGACCTCCGACCCTGCAGAGCGCCCGTCCTCCAAACCAAAGAAGAAGAAGGTGGGCCTGTTCAGATGAGCAGTAGGACGCACACACACTCAGAACCGCATCCACAGAAACCGCTCTGTCACTCAGACACTTCGCTTCGACACTGTTTTTAACCTTTTTACTCTGACGGACATTTAATCAGATTTTAGATTTAAGATGTAAATAAATGAACTCATCGCTCTTTTTTTTTTTAAATGATTCTCCGTGTAATCAGGCTTTAGCAACAGTATGAACATGCAGGTAATTAATTGTACTTTTTAGGTTTTAAGTCGTGTGGTTTTGGATATTCTGGATTGTTTGGGGATTTTAAAGAAACTGTCAATTAAAGATGTAAACGTCATTTTAACTGATGGTTTTGTCCATTTTTTTGCTAAATCAGCTGCTAAAAATGTTCAAAGAAAGACGAGCATCGGAGTTTATTCGGCTTTTAATCGCAGCTTTTTGGAGAAAGTCCTTCGTGTTCAAGCTTCCAGGTGATGCTGCCGGTTTCGTCCCGAGTCGGACGGACGCGGCACAATGAGCCGAGTGGATCTGGGTTTTCAGAGCGCGGCGAGATGTTGACTCAAGGCGTTGCAGCATCCCGGGAATGCCATTGAAGCCTTAGCTGAGGAGTCACTGTTTGCCCGCTCGGCTCCGGAGAGCTTCAAGTGTTCCTGCGAGACAAAAGCGGCTGAAAGCAGCTTCAATCTGAGAAACCAGCTGGTGAATGTTCGCATGATCGTGATTTACTCGTTTGATCGTAAAGAAAACAGACTTCTGCTGTAAAATAATGAATCTTAAACTTCAGATCCTGCAGATTAGGCGATGTTTTTGTCCTCTGAGATCATCAGAACCGTGAAGTCCCACCTGACCCAACCTGACCAATCAGAGCTCAGCGACTTGTTTGTACGTAAAGAAGCTGCATCCAGCAGAATATTAACATATTAATTCAATTTTTAACAGTAAAGCTGCTCATATACTAATATATTCAATTAACGCTACATTTAATTTTAAGTTATTTTTAGTTGATTTAAAAGCAGCAAAGATGTGAGTTTAGACTGACAGAGCTTAAAAATGAAGATTTTAGATTTGGGCATTATTTTTGGCCTGTTTTTGTTTATTTAGTAGTCAATGTGTAAATTAATACTTTTTTTCTGTAATTGGTGTTGATATTTTCTGAAATTTGTCTGTAAAATAACAGTAAAACAATTACTTACCATTTTTCAGTCCTTAATATACTTTTTAAATGATAAATAACAGCAAATATCTGTAAAATAATTAGAATTTTAGTTTATTTAAGTCCATTAAAACTGTAATTTCACTGTCACACATTGTGAAACAACAAATTGCTATTTGTAAATATCCAGATTGTTGATGAGGACATTATTTATAGTTTGGGCTTTCTTTTTCTTTTCTTCCCCCCCATAATTTCCTGAGCCAGTAATTGAATTTATCTGGAAAACAACTGTTAGGAATGATCTACCGCTTTTAAAGCCTTAATACACATAATTTTCTTCTGTAGAAAGACGATATTTTTGTTTATCTAGATACAGTAACAACAGGGTAAGTTTACAGTGAAATTATTATATATTCTTTTAAATTCAAAAAATATATTTTTTAATGTAGACATTAGCCTTTTATTTATTTATTTTTTGCTTTATTTTTTACAATCAATGTATAAATTAATACTTGAAAAACATTACAACATAGTAATCTGTAAAACAACTGTTAAAAATGTCAATTTTAAATTGACATCAGTAATTTCAACAATTTTAAAATCCTTAATAAAATAAATGTAAAATAACAATATTTTTGCTGATTGAAATTTCTTTTTTCTTTTTTTTTTCAATGTGTAAATTATTACTATTTTTTTTAAATTATTTTGCGATTTAGTAATTTAATTTATCTGGAAAACAGCTGGTAACAATGATCTGCCATTTTGAAATTAATTAATTAAAAATTAAATTTTTCTTGTTGTAAAATAATATTTTCATTTACAGTAACAGATTTACGGTCAAATTACAGAAAATAACTAATTATGATGTTTTAACAATTACAGGTTTTGATGTTGACATTATTCACAGTTTTGGATTTTTTACATGTAAATAATGTTTTTTTGTGATTTTAATTGTTATTAGCAAAACAGGGAAAAATCTTAAAAATGTAAAATTAAATTACAGCTAAAAAAAATCAACCAAAAACTTTTTTTTTTTTTACAAAATATTAAATTGCCCAAAGACATGTGCCGTAAAATACCATCAGATTACAGATTCTGTCCTCATTCCATCAACAGGACTCATGTTTTCTTTTTTAAACTTGAAGGACCGTCCAGAGTCATGGTTCTCCTCGGGCCCCTTGTAGGTCCTCCGACCCCGGTTTGGCCCCCGCTGATGGAGGCTGTGGTTCAGTGGAGGCTCAGCCGGCTCTGCGGCGAGGTGTTGGGTGTCGAGTCGGTGAAGCCGGAGCTCTTCTAGTCCGACATAACTCACTGAGATGAGCCGCTGCTGATCCGCCGCTGATCTTCCTGCGTGGTTCGATATTCTGGAAAACAAAGCAGCTGCTCATCGTTTAAGTCCACGGTCTCCACTCAGCTCTGGTCTGAAACATCACACGTCACAAGATGTGACATGAAGGGAATCACAAACCAAACTCCATCCACGATTCTCTACATTTAAAGCTGAGATGCTGCATCTTAAATTCATCACTTTGGTGGTTGTAGATGTAGTTTCTGGTTTATTCACAGCTTCTGAAACCTTCAAAGTGAAAGTGAACAGCTTTCATTTAGTTGTTTTACAGATTCTCAGCTTTGTTCAGCTACAAATAAAACAGAAAAAGTCATAATTTCCCCTAAAAACAGGCCAAAACTGTAAATACTGAAACTTTTGTTCTTTAAAATGGTAATTAATTATTTTAATATTTGTGCTGTGTTTAAAATCAGGTGAACTATTATGAGATATTTGCCATTTATTGAAGAAAAACTTCTATTAAGGACTATTTAAAAACAGTTTTTACTGTTTTATTCCCGGATTTTCTCTCATTTGTAAAATCACAGAAAAAAAACATCAGTTTACATGTTGACTAAAAAAATGACAAAAATCTGTATTTTTACAAACAGTAATTTGTACTTTTACAACTTTTACACTTTTTTACTGTTTAAATCAACAAAAAATATCCAGATTGTCTAAATATTTGCTTTTATTTTTACAGTTTTTGAACGTCTCAGTATATTCTGGTTTTAATTAGTTTTCTGGCACTTTTGCTTCCAGATTCTTGCTTCCTTTGTTTTGTTTTTTTGCAGTGTAGATTCTGTAGAAGTTGCAGCTTTTCAAGGTACAAGAACTAAATCTAGAACCTTTTTCATTTGGTGAAAACTCTGCCAAAGTTCCCTAAAAAGAAAATCTGTGACATGAGTCCTCAGAGGAACTGAAATCTGTGACTTTTATTCATCTGAGGAGCTTCAGTGAAAAGCAGCTGAACGTTTCTTTTAGTTCACATCTGAAGAAGCCTCTCGGATGGAGCTGAAGCTGCTCAGGTCACCAACACCTGGATGACGTCACTGCTTCTGCTTTTGTTTGTTCTCTGATGGTTTCGTGGCAGCTCGTGTTGTTATTTCTGTTGTCTTCGGTGCAGTGAGTGATGCGCTGACAGGAAACACGGAGCTGCTTCTCACCTGCAGCTCAGACTCTTATATCACCGTCCAGGGTCACCGGGGTTTGCAGGTCCTTTACGCGCGCACCTGAGGGTCCAAAGGACGGCGGTGAGCGCGCGTCTCGTGTCTGGGTGTTTGTCCGTCCTCCTGGCCGCGGCTCCGTCCGACCGTCAGCAGATGAAGGCGGCCGCGGGGCCTGTGCCACCCCGGTGGGAGGAGAGGACGCAGCAGAGGGCAGGTCCAGCAGGGCGCGGTCTCCTTCTTCTCCCGCGGCACCTCATCTGTACTGTAGTAGGATCTCTTCCATTCCCACTGCTGCCAAGCGGCGCTGCGCCACAGGGACGCATTGAGAGCAGAGCCGAGAGGCAGAAACCGCTGCGGGGACACCCTTTGACCGCCGTGCCCAACAGGCGCAGCCAGCCCACGCACCGCGCGCCTCCGTGTCTGTCTGTAGGCCGTTTCTCACAGCTCCGACACAGTGGGGCAGCTTTGAACCTGCCTGCCAAGATAAACTCACCTCGCCTATTTATGCCCCTGCCTCCGCGCGCACTCTGGACAGGAGGGTGTCAGCGCGCAGAGGACAGGTTCACGGCTCTCCGGCTCGTCTCCAGCGGCGCACTGGCCACTTTTACGCGCCGGGAATGGCGACTTTTGGGGACCCTGGGATGAGTCCTGCTCCGCTATCTCCGCTCTAAGATTACAAAAGGAAGGAGACACTCGTGAAGAAGCCCAGCGGGGACAGTTTGGCCTCCCACCGGCCCCGGGGCGGAATGCTGCTCCCCACGCTGGTGACGTGCCTCGCCGGGTGCGCCTTCCTCCTCTCGCCGGTCAGCGAGGGCTGCGGACCGGGCAGAGGCTATGGCAAGAGGCGCTCGCCGCGGAAGCTGGCGCCGCTCGCCTACAAGCAGTTCAGCCCCAACGTGGCCGAGAAAACGCTGGGAGCCAGCGGGAGGTACGAAGGGAAAATAACCCGGAACTCTGAGCGCTTCAAGGAGCTCACCCCCAACTACAACCCCGACATCATCTTCAAGGATGAGGAGAACACAGGTGCAGACCGCATGATGACTCAGGTAACCGTCCCGGCCCCCGTCGCGCCTTTCAGCCGCTCTTTTGAGGCTAGAATCCGCTAATTGTGGAGGATTTCTGCGCCTTACTGGCTGCACTTTGCCCGGTCTTTAAACGCGTGGACGCTGTTATCTTTTCCGCATTTCTTGTTGACTCAAGACTCCTCAGAGCACAAAAACACTCTGAAACAACAAGTACCTTAAAATCTACGTGTTTAATTTAAGGCTGTTTAAGTGGGACAGCTTTGTTTTTTAGCCATTTTCTCCCTTCAGTGGAAGATTGTTCTCATTTTTTCGACTCAAACTCCACCTCTCTTTGCTTTTAAGCTGGAATTCTGTGATTGCAAAATGCGCCTGTTTGCACAGCTCATTCTCCAGTCGATTCTGAAAAAGCCTGCGGCTTGTTGACACAGCGGAGCCTGAATTGTGGAGGTGACCGGTTTGAATCAGAGCTCTCCTCTTCTGCTCCGCGTGGACTTTCAGAGGTTCGCTGTGGGCAGCTCGTGCGTAAAAGAGGGCAACCCCGTCTAAAAATGTACGGAAAAGCGGTCGCTCTTAATTAAAACACTATGTTCTCTGTTTTACATCATGTTTTTTGGTGGAAAAACAGCCAAAAGTCGTATTTGGTTAGAGCCCGGGTCAAGCGTGTCCTGATGTTTACCGTTTTCGTTTTTAGCCCCACTGGCCAGAGTTAACAGTCGCCTTTTGGACTGTCAAAAATTTTTACGACACCGTCATTGATGTGGCCCCGGCTGGAATTTATTTGACTCCCAATTTCCCCAGGAATAAAGTATTTATATCTGGCTCTTGTGACCGCGGGCTTCCTCCCGAGCAGCAGCGTTTATGTCCACAGACCCACGTGGGGAATGAAAGCGCGCACTCCCGTCTGGAGCTGTCACCTCGCTGCGCGCACTGCAAGAAATATCCACGGAGGGAGTCGCTGCGGCCGCAACGCACCAGACAAGTGAATTATTTCATTTGATCTGCGCGCAGATAAACCAGATGTCAGAGCTTGATTTGACCTTTAACCTCCAGAACGAATCGATCTGATCGTTTTCCTTCTTCGACTGTCACCACAAATGAGTCCAATGCGCAGTAAAGGTGAAATCAGCCAACTCACTGATGAATTCAAAGCTCAGATAAACCTTCAGGTGAAGTATTTTCTCCAAGCAGGACATTTTTTGCAGCGCGCACCCGGAGCCTCTGCGCGTCAACGGCGCTGACCTGCGCACAATTTATGGGCTCCAAGCCGCAGGAGACAGCCTCCTGTTTGTCTTTTACTATTCCGTGTTACTTTTTGTTTGTTTTCGCAGCGCACATGTGCAAAAATAGCCCACTTCACTTGTGTTGAAGCCTTAATTATACGGATTTTTTTTCGCCTCTTTGGGTTTTATTCGCTTTTTCCTGGGCGCTCCTGGGCCGCATACAGACGCGACTGTTCAGGGGCGAAGCCACGCTGCAAGAAGTGGCACTTTTCACGCTTCATTTGCTATTTAAATGCGTTGATGTGTTCATTTCGACGCTGCTGCAAATCAGATTTTAAAAGTGCGCATTACTTTACTCATGTTTAACACGTGTTTGCTGATTTTGGAGACGTGCGTAAAAAGGGCAGATTGCGTCACTTTCTTTAATCTACAGCCTTCAATATAAGAAAACGCTCCAAACAGTGTCCCGGCGTTTCAACCTCTGTTTTCTTGGACATTTGGTCCCTTCTTGTTGAGGAAATGTGACTTTTCGGCGCCACATGAGGCCAGACGAGCCGCTCACTTTTTGCAGCGCGGAGGTGTGCATAGGCGCATGTTGTCAGCCTGCGCGTCCAATGTTTGTGCAGCCAGCGGTTTAGTGCTAAAACCGCTCCTACAGAAACCCCCGTCGATCTGTATACCTTGAAAGGAAAACCAACAAAATCTATCGTCTGATTTATGAAGTCCAGCTCGTTGCTGTGACCGCGCAGAGAAAACATAAGACGTTAAAATCCACACTGAACACTGTGAAAAGGCATCTGTGGCCACCGAGCCGCGAGCTATTCTTATCACAGCCAACATGGAAAAAGACATTTATAGGGTTTAATCCCAGTTTGCAGCCTTAATAGACCGAGATTCATGAATCGCTGCATCACTGAGGGACGCTTTGAGGGGCTGCAGGGAAACGACGCGACGCCCTGCAGTCACCAGAGCTGATTTAATAAGACTGTAGTCAGACCAGGTCGGATTTCTCTCATTGCATGTGACACTCGAGGGGAATAAAACCAACAAAGCCTCCCTCCATTCAGGTTTTTATTGAAATCTGAGGCATGTGGCCTGAACAGTTTTGGATTCTGACCTTTAATTGACCAGGAAAGTGTCGCTTCTCCATCAGAGAGCCTGTGTGAACGTTTAACGGAACAAAAATGCAAATGGATTGTTGTTTTAAGTAAGAAAGTACTGAAATATATACGTTCAATGGCATTTTTAAGAAGCAACTTGTTAAACTGGACCTACAATTTTCCACTTATTTAACCAAAGTGGTCAAAATCAAACCAAATGTGTGATTATTTAATTGAAGCGCCTCCATTTTGGATCATTATTCAAACTCTTATTTCTCTAAAAATCCGTTATCTTACTTTCGCCCTCCTTTGCTTGATTTCTTGTGATTAATCATCCTCGAAAATCAAAAAAAAGGCTCCATTGATGTTTTAAAATGCTGTCTCAGGTTTAACTAAATGAAACAGCGCCCCCATCTGGCCAATCTGTGTTGATGTTTAACTCTTCATCCTTTGAAGTTTCAACAAAATCCAGACTGGCAGACGATTATGTTGAATTTAAGGCACAAATTTACATTTTTTGAACTGTCGTCCTTCAAGATTTAACCGAAAATTCACAGACGATGAAGCTACCGACATTTTTACAAAAGTTTGCGACGCTCAGACAAACTGTAAACTTTATTTATAAAACTTCGATTCAGTCAACTTTTTCTTTTTTTGTGAACTTGGAAAATCGTCGTCCTGTTAAATTTAAACTAATTTGCACCATCATGTTTTGGGTTGTCATGTTCTTGTTTTTGAAAATAGCGCCACCTTCAGGCCAACCTGTGTCACTTCACGGCAAATTAATCCAACATTTGTGAAAACTGAGCAGGTGATTTTATATTTCATCGATTTGATCGACAGATTCCTAAATGTCTTCACTTATCATGTTAAATGTAGAAAAATGTTTAATATTAATGTGAATTAGCGCCCTCTACAGGTTCATCTGTGTCGTTTTAAAATAAAGTTTCCGGCAGCGTTTGAAAACTATTTGACAAACTGACATAAAATTTTGGAATTACCAATCCAGACTTCAAGAATTTTGTCTTAAATTGAGAAAACGGCGCCCTCTTCTGACCAATCTGTGTCAATTTAAAAATAATTTTCTACACGTTTGTAAAATTCTAACTTCTGATAAACTGAGTTCTGATTTCGTAACTCGTTATCCTTTAAAATGTATTAAAATATGTGCGACAGTGTCTTGAAAATAAAAATCAGCGCCCGCTCTCGCGCAGTTTTGAAAAATTAGTTTGTTTTGTGGAATTTGTGTCGCAGCCCAACTGTTGTCATACGTGTGATTTCTTCATCCTGTTTCAATTTTCACAAATTTTAATGTGAAATAGTCTCTCTTCAGATCAATCTGTGTCCGTGTTCAAAGAAAAAATCCACTTTTGTCAAGTAAAAAATGCACAAACCTCCATTTAGTGAAAAAATAAACCTCGTAAATCATCGTGTTTTTTAAATTCAACCTAAACTGGATCGTATTTGCGTCTGATCTCTCAACACGATTCTGTTAAACGTCTCCATAATTCGGCCAATCGTGTCTTCATATGTTGTGAATTTATAGTTTTGAAGAAATAAGCGCCCCCTCCAGGCCGGTCTGTGCCACTGTTAAGGTCCTCTCTGCTGCAGCGCCCCCTGCAGTCTGTATACCAGCGTCAATAACGAAATAATTTAGCATTTAAAATATACACCTGCAACACCTCAGACAAAACACACAAATCCAGGTTTCAGAAGCATCAACTGTATCTAAGCTACAAAGACGTGAAACAACAAGTTTCTAAGTGATGCTGTCGTTTAGTAATTAATGAAATTATCCTCCAAAGTCTATAAATATGTTTATTGCAACCAAGCTCACCAGGTGCACATCAGAAATCTTGGTATTTTTACATCGCAAGGAGAAATTTGGTGCACTTCAATTCATGTTTTTTTTAACTTTAAAACCAAAAAACAGTGAATTTCACGTCTTAAGATTGAATCATGTATGCTTGTAATTGTAATATTGTAAATGTCTCTTGGAATGAAGCCTTTTGCTGTGGTTCTGTGATGTTTTAAGCATCGAATAGAGGAGTTAAAAGGAAAATGGGGCACAAAAAAGGCTCAAAAATGCAGCTTTGAAACTTTAGCATTGTCCGAGTTAACATTTTTGGAGCTAACGGTGTCTTGAAGTCCACCGGCTTTACAGACTGTAGATATTTATGACTCCTTATCACTGCGCTGGGTGAACACTGCCTGCAGTTCAGCCGAACAGTCTCTGAATTTGTGTAGCATAAACGTTAATCAGAGTAAAGTCGCTGATGTCTTCACGGTTGCGTCGAGGGGCAAAAAATGTTCTGTTTTTCACAGAGTCTTATTTGAGTAAACGGTTTACTTCTGGTGAATGTTTTTGAATGAAAAAAATGAGACTTTAATGAAATATTACGATTTTAGGCTTTGATTTGGTTGTTTTCAAACACAATGGTGTGTTTAATATTTAAGGACTGTTGGAAATCAAAGAATTGTGTTTTTCGTAGTTTCTAGATGTAATTTTAGTATTTTTTTAAAAAAGACACCATGCTTTTGAAACCTGGGTTGCAACTAGTAAACGTGTTCGCTCATCTTAACCACTTCATATGCGACATGCTTGCAGTTTGTAATTTATGAGTTGGTTGTGTTTTGTATTATTAATCTGAAGCTAGCAGATGAATGTGTCGGAGGATAAAGTGCAGAACTCGAGAAGCAATCTGTCCACGCCGTCTATATTTAGTTTTTATGTTCAGAACAACCGATAGGCCGGACAGAGACAATAATTAAGAACCACCGTGTCTCCTCTGCTGCAGCGCTGCAAAGACAAGCTGAACTCTCTGGCCATCTCGGTGATGAACCTCTGGCCCGGGGTCCGGCTGCGGGTCACCGAGGGCTGGGACGAGGACGGCCACCACTCGGAGGAGTCGCTGCACTACGAGGGCCGGGCGGTGGACATCACCACGTCGGACCGCGACCGCAACAAGTACGCCATGCTGGCTCGGCTGGCGGTGGAGGCCGGCTTCGACTGGGTTTACTACGAGTCCAAGGCTCACATCCACTGCAGCGTCAAGTCAGGTGAGAGTTTCAGAACGACAAAAACACATTTAGGAATCCTAAACCAAGCTGTTGTACCTCCAGAAGACACCACACTCAGCTTTAATTAATTACTCATCAAACTTGAAATCTAACTTTTAGCATTTGAGGTGACTCCTTTGGGACTTAGCACAGCCTTCCTACATCCTTTAAAGCAGGACGGCTAAACTCAGCGATCATAGTTTAATACATTTCAAAACAATTCCCCTTCAAGTTGCACATTACTGCAGCTATATTCATCTGTGTTTTACGGCACAAAGACTCCAAAACTTTACCTCTGACTCAAAGAAACACTCGCCTAATCTTGTGTAAATAACCAAGAGTTTCTCGTAGACGTTTCACAAACCTCCGCTGCCTTTTTCGTTTCTACCTTCACCCTCCTTCCCCTGATCACTAACCCGCCTTGTGCTCGCGTCACAAGTAAGTCTTCGCTCCCATGTTCTTCTTCTTCCTTTCCGCCCTCATCAGCCACTCACCTCGTGTTTCCTCAGTTCAGGCGTCGCATCTAAAATTCGGCTTCTTTGAGTTGTTTGTGGCTTTCTTGCTTTCCTCACACAGAAGCAGCCTCATCTGAACTTCATACAACCTCACATCTGAGCAGGATTCATGAGTCTGGCTGTGTGCTAAGTGTCTCTACCAACTATACTAACTTAGAGTTAGCCGGTTAGCTACCAGACCACATACTCAGCTATTAGATTAAGCAATCCTGCATTAATGACACGTCTGCATCAAGAGAACAGAAAAACCTTCGTTTGTTGAGAACTGGTCGTGTTAACTTGTCAGAAAACAAACATGTCGTCCATGAACATGACTGATAGCAACACGTCTGAGACTTCTGCAGTTTGCTCCTGTATAAATATGTCGGAACAAGGTCCGCAGACATCCGCAGGCAACTGTTTGGTAGCTTTGCTAACTATGCTAATGTGACTTGTAATGTAAGAAGGTAGTCGAGGCCAGTGAGGGTTATCCTGGACATCGTATGGCCTCTTGAGTCTTCTCTAGCTTTTTAACAGGAAAGTTCAAGACATTTAAACAGCAGAAACCTAAAGAAACTTTAGAGGATCTCTACTTGAGTTTCCACCAGAGGAACCAGGGTCTAAAGAAGATCGGTGGGACAGTTACATCCTAAAAATTCCTTCATCAAAGGGTTGTACTCTCTACTTTCTACTTCAGGAATTTGGGGCAAAGGCAAAGTTTGCAGGAACAACCCTTTAAGCATTGCGGTTGTGGCATAGAATCCAACAACTTTGACGGCAAAGTTAACTCCAAGTGCTCCAAAACTTCAAGAAACAGTCATTCCCGGACGTAATTCCACTTCTATGAGCTCGTTGGTAACAGAGAAGTAGCAGTAGCAGTAGTAGTATTTGCACCCCTGGGGCACAGGAACCTTTCTGAGGAGCTCTACCTGTTTCCACCAAACAAACCACAGTTTACAAGACCTTCCAGAAAACTAGATTTACTCCCAGAGACATTCCTGATCAGAGGGTAGACCCAGAACACGCTGAAGGGATTATATATCTCATCTGGAGCAACTAGATGATGGACGTCTGGAATTACCTGCTGAAGAGGATGCCACCACAATCCAACCCTGAATCAGTGGAAGAAGATGAAGAGGTGGAGGGATGCACATTGGATGGATGGATGGATGGATGGATGGATGGATGGATGGATGGATGGAT